ATCAAGGCCTACATTAGAGAAAGAATTCTGCAGGGATAACAATGAAAACTGCATTAAAGTAATACTTGACTTCAATGATTATAAATGGTTTCTATATAATAACATGAAGCTAAATGTAATCAAGCTGACTATTGTGGGTCAGGAGATAGAAATTAATTTAAAAAATAACAAATTATGCCTTTTTGTTTCCTAGTCTCACAACTGTGTCATACTGTAAAATGCACCGATACTTAGGACATGCTTAAACCAAGCTTTTAAAATACTTTATTTTATTTTTCCCTCCAGATTTCTAAACTACAGTGCTGGATACTTTTCCAATGCCTTCAAAATAACAACATAAACAAGAGACTGCTCACAAATATGTCCACTCCTGCGCAATGTGCACTTACAAGTTCCCTTTTTATTTCTTGAAGCTCCGCTTACACTGATCCTTTTAGGACTAGATTCTTTTGTTCTCATTCAAAACTCCTATAAAGTATTTAGAGCTTGACCTTGAGGCCACATCTTGAGAAGCAATATAGTTCAGAGGCCAACAGTTAAAGATGAACTTCAGCTAAATCAAGGATTCAACTTTATTATAAGTGTAAAAAGTATAACTTCCCCAAAATAACTGTACCTCCTTTATAAATATGAAATGAATTTTCTAAAAATTTGCAAGTCCAATTATTTTTATGCCTTAAAAATGCCATGCTTTAACAACACAGCCTCCTTTTATTAATGATGACCATTTTCATTCCTATAGATCATACTAATTGAATAATACACTGTCCAAACTTTCAAAAGAGTTAAAACTTAAATCTTAGGTATATGTTACATTTGAAATGTAATTTATGTTTATTTTTTAGCTGTAATTCTTCATAAATTAAAATTTCACCTTTGCAGATACAAAAGTATAATCTTATGCTTCAGAGGATTCCTAAAAAGACTGTCCTCTTTCAACGGGGCTGGCATCTCCACTGTACTTGACAGCACTGAGATCACAGCTGAGCTCAGTCAAGATGATAGTTCCCATTTTTTTCCAAAGAAACTGAGGTTACATGCTGCCCTTATTTATCAAGGGTGGCAACTTCTACCAATCATCATCCTTGCAGTGTAGTCTCCATACTGAGCTGATTTTATTATTATTCTTTCAGCCAAAGAATTTAATCCATTTCTGAGAACATGTCTGAGAGGAAATTATACTGCTCCTCCAGAGTTAGTATCTTTAGGAGCTCTTTCTAACAACTATTTGCCTTTTGCAACATGTTAATTAGAAGTTTGGCAGGGAGAGGGTGTGTGTGTCAGGGATGTGCTTTATACTCTTCCCATAATAATTTGACCTAGCTATAATCAAGCAAAATGTACATGTACTCATTATAAATATTTACACATTTATCATTTGTTAAATTATAATTTTAGGCATATTCCAGCCTAAGTCACAGAAGGACTTATTC